ATTTTACTACCTCAAATATTTGACGGTAATGCAGACGCTCCACTGTCAGCAATCAACTGTGTTTGCCTGCTTGAATAAACATGTTTATTCTGTCAAAATGGCCAACATAAAAATTTAAAGTAAAGGACATGAAAACCAACCAGAGGAGTAGTGCCTATCTGTTTTATATCTCTTCTTTCTATTGGTCGTTCCACCGTCTTCCCTGTTTAAGACACTCTTAAATTCACTAAACGTTCTCCTCACAAGTCCAAACATTTTGTCATATTAGGATTTCTCTTAAAGCCTAAGATGCTTTGTGAACAAGGCAGTTCAAAGTGAGATGAGACATGTAACAAACACAAACACAATCACATTTTGTCAAATGTTATTATCAAAATCTTTAGGAATAGTTAAATTTAGATTTTAACAATTTGAGAAATTCAAATAATTATCCTTAAAAGAGGCCAGAAGGAGCTACGTTTAGTATTTCTTGAGAATACCTGTCCTAAACTAAAGTTTATTTGATTTCATCACTTAACTGTGTCAGTTCTGCAGACGTGTTACACACACTAAGAAAACAACTCACACTGCAGAGGTCTGAAAGGCTAGCAGTTATTAGAGGCGAAACGCTCTGCAGGTCGTTGTTGGACTCCAACAAAACAATTCTTTCTTCAGCTAAAATGTAAAAAATCTCATTTAATGGTGTCATCTGTTAGAAATCGATGGAATCCATTTAGATGTCATCACCCTTCAAAACTGTGTCTTTTTTTAATATCTTTGCTAGACTGATTTCAGCTGAATTTAAGAGAAAGTTAAAAATATGTTTTTGTTTCCAAGTTGCCACGTTAATTAAAGGTGTACCAACACAGCAGGTTTACCAGGAATGCAGACGTACGTGTGTGGTTACTGAACTAGCCCTTTAAATTTTTCTCCACCATCTTCTGTGCAACGTAAAGGCGGCCTGAAGTGAGCAGAACTGTGACTCTGAATTTACAAAACCACAGTATTTCTGCAGAATTCTAATATTGCAACACACCCTTAACTAAATTCATTGCAGCATTTTGTGGCTGTATTACAGTTTTTATGCTGCATAACTGACCTTTCTGCTGTTTTTATCTCATTTGTTATCTTTCAGCTTCCGTTGCTGATTCACCCCAGGAGGGACAGTAAAGGATACTTTTCTGTTTCAGTGTTGAAATATTTAGCAATTTTAGCCCTGACCTTCAGCGTTGCAGCAAACCTGATCTTATCACGCCTTGCTCAGAAATGCAGAGACTCCAAGCTGTCTACAGAGTGCCAGGAAGACATTTCTTACTTGGCAAAAATTTCAATGAGCTTCTTCCTGTTCCGCCTTGGCTCCGAATCCTCTTCAAACTCTTCCATGTCTTTCCCCAGGAACACTTCCTGGTGGAAGTCCTTGTTGAGGTGGCCATCCATTTCCATCTTTAACCCGTTCAGGTGGTCCGGTGGAAGGATCTCGTTCTCGTCCTTAGTGGCCTGAGACTTATCCTTGGAGGATGACATGTTGGCCGGACGCGCGTGCACATCCAAAGTTAGCAGGAAGTAGAAGAGCAGAGACAGAGCCAGGAGCTTCCTGGACCACAGATCTCGGCAAACAGCCATGATCACTTCTGGAAAAACACGAAAGCAGAAAATCAACCAGATCAGCTTGGAGAAATTAAACAAAAAATAAATAAAAAATATGTACAGTTTTTAGAAAAAAGTAGAATCATCTCTAGACATGCCTCAGAAATGTAAATAAACTATGGGTTAAATGGTTAAATTGACATGTTCTATGTAGAACTCCTAAACTGGACTGGTTTTAGGTTCACCACATTCAAATGCTGTAAAAAGAAAACAAACAAACAAAAAAACTCCTAACAAACACCTTTCATTTTAGGCAATAAAATGTTTATTTTCTTACTTAAAAACAGTTTAATTATTTGTTTATTTGCATGTTTTGTGTATTTCAAACATTAGAAGGATGCACATCTGCATTTATCTGGTTAATTGTCAGAATAATCAATAACTAAACTCATAGTGGCAGCCCTAAAACAAATGTCCCTTTTCTTCCAGAAATATATATATATATATAAACAACAACAACAACAACAAAACTTGCTTTTATTTAAAAACTTCTCCTGTGAGATGATGTGAATTCAGAGTCCAAGTAATTTGTAAAGCAAAATGTTAGACTCTAGGCATCACTCTTAACTGCGGACACCCATTTTCCCAAAATTTAATAATCAAACAGCTAAATCAGTTAATTTTCACAGTCATTGATGATATGCAAGAGTTCAGGAGTAGGAGCAGGACAGATTATTAATCACCTTAGAAAGTACTAAAATGTCTGTCTAGTTGCAGATGGACATTGAAATTTTATTAATTCAGTTTTTTAGTGTTTTTTAATTATTATTTTCCTTCAGAAAGCTGGAAAAGAATTCATATCTAATTCAATTCAAAATCTACGACTGTAAAACTGAAAATGCTTTAATACGTTCAAAAAGTCACTTTTTTTTGTTTAAGTTTTCTTTTTGGTTTATGTTTCCTTAAATCTTTTAGTCATGTTGTTCATCACAGCAATCTATTATTATTATTGCTATTCTTATGGTGATTTACACAGTTAATGTTCAGATTTTCATAAAATAGTTATTTATATAAATTTCATTTTTGTAGATTGTACATTCATCATTGGTCAAACTGTTGCCTCAATTTTAATGCCGCATTCACGTCTGTTCGGAGTTTTCTATACCTCAACACGCCCACTGGAAAATCCCACTTGTGAACCCTTATTCATAGCGTTTTTGTGTGACAGGAAAAAGCTTAAACAACAAAAAAACCACAAAAAAAACCAAAAGTGAAAATAAATTTAATAACCTAAATACTCCGACAGTGTAGGTTGTAAGCTAGCCTCTAATGTCTTGCTTGTAATCTAACTTACAATCAATAATTGATTTTGAACAGTCGAGATGTGGCGGGTTTTCAGCCCAATTCACAAGGTCAAAACTTAAAGTGGTCCTCCTATTGTTCATATAGTACTGTAATAAACAAGCACAAAAAGAGACAGGTAGAAGCAGTTGAGTTTTTACAATTTTGTAAGACGCAGTTCGAATTACTTTCACCCGTAAGTGAAGTACAATCGTGGTCACTAGCTACTACATTAGCGCCTTCTCTGTCAGCAAATATCCACCTGGCATTAAAATGCCATTTGCAATAATAGTAAAAGTGACTTTCAACGGAAGACTGGAAGCACATCAGCAGCTAGCTAGCGTTGATGTTTGATAGTTATACAGACCTGCGGTAAGTCAGTCAAGATGTCACTCTGCGATCCCGGAGTTAATAGTCCTCCGACACAAACCCGCTAAAAAGTGTAGAGCAGTTCTGTTCACGTCAACAAAAACGGACACACAAGAGGAAGAATGAAAAAATGGTGATAATTTCCCAGGTCGATCAGTTGAACTGGTTAGCCGCTAGCGCTGTTCTAATGAATTATGTAACCACTCGTATTCGGAGCTACCACTTCCGGTAAAGCATTCCAAAACAAAATAATGGTACGTTTGAGTTCAACAATTTGTAAATGATCGTATAAATGTTAATATAATGAAAACTAACTCTGTGCCAATGAAAAAAGATTGCGAGACATCATTTACGTAAGAATTTGATGATAGCTTTAGCTCACATGGTTATTTAAGGGCCCAGGAGGCAAAGATCTCGGACAACTGTTATGGTTAATGTGGATATTTATCGTTTTCAGTTTTGTCGAGTAACAATAATTTTGATTTGTCGTTCTCACGACAAAATTAAAATTATTTAGGGTTTTTTTTAAAGAAAAAAAAAAGATAAAACAAACTGGCAGCATTACTGGAGTTGTTATTTTTCTATTTTCTTCAATGTTTGTTATATGAAAGAATCAATAAATAATAAATTCAAAAATATGGTTAAATACAGTTAGTTTATGCAGTTTAGTGATACAATTCATGCGACCAGTGCAACTGATGTTGTTTTTCATTATTTTTTATCATAAATAGTTCAACAATATATTGTCATATCGTCCAACCCTATTTCAAATTTTAAAAATAATGAAAATAATATCCATGTATTTTGTTAATGAATCATAAGATGAATTCACCCGTATCAAATTTAAACATCTTTGAAATCTACATTTTCGTTCTCTGTTCTTCTGCATGTTTTTTTTTTTTTCAGTATAAGAAGTGACTGCATTTTTTTAGTACTCTTGTTTTATAATGTAAAACTACTTCCGGTTTTCTGTTGCATAGGCGAAACTTGAAATTGCAGCTTCCTACTACGTTTCATCCAGCTGTGCCAGCGAATACAGGAAGAGATGTCGCAAAGTGTACAAACTGTAGTTCCATTGACTTCCTCTAGATGTCACTGTTTTCAAATTTAATGCCGTAAGAGCAAACAGACCAAGCTGTCTGAAATTACAAGTTAGAAAGTGAAAACCAATACACAAATTATTCCAGAAACATTTCATTTACGCAAAAAGAAAATACTGTTGTATCTGAAAAACCCACATAATTTCCTAAGTTTAGAATTATATTCAGGGAAATTTAGAACCTCTGTGTATTTTATAGAGAAAAGTCAATGAGCATCATTAGGGATTAAAAATAAGTGCTCAGGATGGAATATACTCCCATGTGGAGCTCTTTGGAAGTTTTCCTAAACTTGTGGTCACTTAAAAGTTTATGTTTGTTTCTATTTCCATCCCAGATGTAAACACACGAGTTTGAAAGAGTAAGCTAATACTGAGCCAAAATGACAGATACAATAATTTATACAAGCAACACACACAACTTTATTGTCTGCCAAAGAGCCTTCCCAACTCGACCATTTCATCTATGAGATAAAACAGAGCAGAATAAGCCTGTATGGTTGCCAACAGAGAGAGGCAAAGCAAAAAGAGAGAGAGAGCGAGAGAGACTGGGGCAGGGGGTGGGAGGGAGAAAGGGAGATGATAAAACGCCACAGTGAGCCCTCCTGCAGGCTCAGAGCAAAGGAGCGACTCAGACCAGACTGAAAAAAAGGGTAGGGAGTGCAGTGGAGCAGGCAGAAAGCAGCCCAGCAGACTCTGAGGCAGAGTCTCTGCGCATTGACTAGTTGGAGAAGTGAGCAGCACCTGAGCGGCGTCAGGCATCTGCTACCTGTTGAGTTTATGGTGGAAGCAGACAGGAGTGACTAATTCTTCAAGGAGAAGCATCAAAAGAGCAGTTCTGGACCTTAGACTAATTGATTTAAGTGCTGTCCTTGCAGCTTTTTGAAACTTTTTTTTTTTTTAAGGAAACTGATTTCTTTGGATCTTGCACCACTTTGTTGCATCCTGGAACTTCTTCTCAGTGTAAAAACCAGCAGGAGGGAAAAAAGAGAAGTTAACCATCCTTCTCCAGCAGCTCTCTCAGCCCACCCTCTCTGCTTTGGACACCCCTCCTCTCTCTCTCTTTCTCACTTTCTTCTCCTCTTTTGCCCCCTGTGCCCTCCCTCAAACACCTCACCTCCCCCCCAACAGAGCAGAAAGCGTGAAAAATCTCACTAATGGCTTTATTTGCTGTCAGTTCTGTGCCGCTCTGTCATTCCCCTGGACCATTCTGCTTCACACATTTCATAGTTGAGTAAATCTCCTCGGCTGCCTGGCTAGACTTAGCAGTGCCCCTGCAAAGGCTGTGCTGTCTTGGAGCTCAAGAGGGGAAGAAACACAGCAGCACCACTCAGTCTGAGAACTTTGTGGACAAGGACATTCAGAAACTTAATTCCTCACGTGTTTTTTAGCCTTTAGCATCTTCACCTTCTGTCAAAAAACACTTCTGGTCCTCAACTTCTCTGTAAGATTTTCCTGAAGCGCCTTGGTGCTGATTTGAAGTGTGAAGATGAGGTGTGGATGTGGCCCTCTGGCAGTGGTGGCTGCCGTGTTTTGGACTCAGTGCTTTCTTCTGGACGGGGTGGAAGCCAGGAAGGAGCGAAAGAGGCCAAAGGAGGCTGCGCCGCAACACACAGAGGCGTACAATGTGACTCTGTCCAACAGCGAGGAGGTCGGCGGAGGCATCAAGGTAAGGAGCAGAGCTTCACGCTGCTAGACTTAAATCTGCAAACTGTAAAAACAAATTACAAGTATTTTTGGTCTAGTTTCTGTTTCAAATGTCCTTGTAGACTCAAAATAATTCAAAACTAACATTCAAGTGACTTTTCAACAAGATATGGTTTGTTTTAAGTCAATATTTCTTTAATGTGGATGAAAAAGTATGAGCTCCAATGGCAGATTATTTCATGTACAACAAAGGAAAAATATCTGCCAATGGAATTAGTACTTTTTCATCAATATTAAGGAATTATTGACTCAAAATGAGATCGTATTTCTTGCTGAAAAGATCCTTGTAATTTAGTTTTGTTTTATTTCAAGTCTAAGATATTTGCACTAAGAAACTAGATCAAAAGTTCTTGGTACAATTTTGTGTTTTTGCAGTGTATTTGATTCATCCACAAAAAGTTGCAGATATTTGTGATGTAAAACAGAAAAACCCATGTTTACAATTGTTTTCCTTATTTTTTTATTTTATTTTATTTTTTTACAACAAAACCTCTGAAAAGTTTGGGTTGTACTTGAATTCAAGTAGTCAGGAGCAGGAGTTCCTGCTCCTGAATAAAATCACCTAGGACACCCCTGCTCTAATTCAAACGAGAGTCTAAAGTTAATCCACAGATGTGAAGGTCTGGTTAGAGGAAGTAAAAAGCGACAAGAGGCTGAAGCATCACAGGACAGGTGTGCCCCTACAGGTCAAGCTTCAGGATGTGTGACAGACAAAAAAAACGTGTGAATCCCTGAATGGATGACTACCGCAGGCATGCAAGGAATGCGAACATCCAAAGGCTGATCCGTGCATCAATTAGTCCACGCTGTGGGTGTCTTCGTCCAATTTTCCAGCCCAAGTGAACAAATAAAGATCCTATTACTTGTAAGATAATTTATGCATTAGAATGAGGAATTGAAAATAGCTAATTTATTCATTAGATACAGGATACAAGGTATTTACACCAGCGCTACAAACTATGTATTTCACTGGGATTTTATTTAGTGGATGAGCACAAAGTAGCATAAAATTAACAAGTTTGTACCCCCAAAAATAAATTTCAGTTTCACCAAATTCCTTTAGAAAGTTCCCCAAGCAGAGTCTAACTGTGTGTAATTTAATCTCAGTTTAAATCCAGCTGTTCTGTAAAGTCTCTGAGGTTTATTAGAGAACATTAGTGAACATACAGCATCGTAAAGACCGAGTAGCACAGGTTAGAGGTCAGGGATAAAGTTGTGGAAAATATTGAAGCATGGTTATTTTAATAGAAACTATTAAAAAAATTTACATATCTTAAGGAAATCATCCAAAGATAGAAACAGAATGGCATCACTCCAAACTTTACTAAGACATGGATAAATCTGGATGAGCTGCAAAGATGAACAACTCAGGTGGGAGAATCTGTTGACCGGACAACCGTTCCAAACATTGAGGTGATGGCAGCATCAGGGTGTGGAAAAGCTTTTCTTCAAGAACTGGGAAGCTAACCAGAGTAAAAGGGAAGATGGATGGAGCTTAGTGCAGCACAATCCCAAAGAAAAACCTATTGGAGGCTGTGAACGTTCCGAGACTTTGGCAGAAATTCACTTTCTAGCAACTAAATAACCCAGAAAATGTATCTAGAAATTACTGGAATGATTTAGGTCAAAGCAAGTTTATAAACTTAAATGTAAGTTTGCAGACACCTTCAATTCTGATTGAGCTTGAGTTATTTTCCAAAGAAAAGTAGGCAAGAATTAAAGACGACGTTTCTTTAATTCATTTCTGAAATTGTAATTGCTGCAAAAAGCAGAATCTGAATGTTCTCAGTACTTTCCAGATATTTAATTGTAAAATAAAGGAAAACAGAAAACAGTTTTGTTTGTTGGACTAATGCACAAAAAAATCCTTTAAAATACATTGAATTTTGTGGTTGTAACCTGAATGAAGAAATGAACTTGGCACAAATTTCAGTGAAAAAACAGGAGCAACGGTTGCCCCCCGATTTTATATTTTTGTTTTTCTTGTTGGTGTTGCATATTTCTGATGGTTTCCAGCGTGGTATTTATTTTTGCTTTCAGCCCACCCATTATGTTGGCATTCTCATGTAGCTCTCACTGCCCTATATACCAGTCGTCACGTCTCGTGGTAACCCCTCCTCCCGTCCTGAAACCACACAGTGAGGTCTCCTTTGTATCTTTAAGAACACTTTGTAGGTGGCTGTGGCCTGCCCCTGTTTATTTGACTTGGTTAGCCTTGTAAAAGCAGCAGCTATGAAGGATGACCTTATGTCAGGCCTTGCAGCCTGTTGAAGATTGAGCCTCTGCGATGTCTCACCTCTGTGCTACGTCCTGCGCGGTGTCTTCGCAAACCCCCCCTATCACCATGGTGCCTCACAGGATGTGATGTAACCCCTGGCAAGGCTAGGAAGATATTATAAAGGATATTTTCACCTCTGTGGAGGTGTTCTGTATGTGTTCTTTGTTCCTGAAAACGTGCATCTTAAAGTCAATGGTGTTTGTTTATGCTCAACACTTTTACACCCTGAAATATGTAAACACCTTTGTTCCATTTGCAAAAATATCAATAAACATAAAAAACAAAAAAGAAAGGACATTTTATTAAAAATTCACATTTTGAATGCTTTTGTACTTCCATTTGGGTCTCTGCTGCTTCTAAAAACAGTCCAAGCACTTAAAAAACTCACCCAGTTGTTTTTTGTTACTAAGTTAATATTTTTCAGTGTCTGGAAAACGAGTTGTTTCAAAAAACCTTCCAAGTATAACATCACAAATCAGCAGGCACCGCCCCTCAGCCAGCAACCCCAGCAAAGCCCAGCCCGTTACTTAGCAACCCAAATGGAACTCAAGGGTTAGTCAGTTGTGTTTTTTTAAAACAAGCTTGTTCTTCATTTTGTGAAGTTAGAGTACCCAAAACTGCATTCAAGTAACAGTAGAATTACTTCAACATATTTTTACTCAAGAAAAAATAAACAGTAGTCATCCGAGATTACTCAAGTAAGAACATTACACAGACCAAAATATACAATTTTGTTATTTTGGTATTGGTATTTTATAGACCAAAATTAAAATAATTCATATTAATAACATAATTACAAAATAAGGCAAAAGAAACATTTTTCAAACTTCTGAAACTTTACTATGAACTGGCGAATGATTGGTGAAAACAATGGTGTTCTTCATTCAGTGAAAATACTTAGTAGATGGAGCATACAGAAATTTTACTCAAGGAAGAATAGTGACGCTTCATAGTAAAATTACTCAACTGAAATAAAAAGTACAGCATAATAAATATACATCTAAATGTAATTTTTTCCCCCAAAAGTTATTCAAGTAAATGTAACAATAAATCTTACAACCCAACTCTGGTGCTGTACAATGGCTGCTGGAAAAGTGTTTTGTTGATGACTTACCATTCAGAAACCTCTTGGTGAATTCTTGTTGGTTGTGCAGGAGGCTCTACTTCTGCTTTTCAAAGATGTATGATTGTATAATTGTACATCTGTTTGCAGCCATTTTCGAGTGTGCTGAGGGGCCGTGGCCAGCAGCAGTTTATTGGGTTTGAAGTTAGAAGACGCCCTAAAACAGCTCATTCTGAAAGGCATTCAAAATAGGCAGAACTGAGCAAACTAAAATCTCATTAGCTTGATTTTGTGCGAAAATGTCCTGAACATTTTTTTGCATAGCCCATAGACCTATCCTAACCTGTTCAAGGAAGCATAATAGGTCACCTTTAAAAGACCTGGGGCGATGTTGTTCTCAGCACATCGATTCTGTCATGCATGGGCCCAGTCTGCCTCCACTGTGTCTGGGACATCCGATAGGAGCGGCGTGGTCCTGAAAACTCGGGCAGCATGCCATGTAAGCCCCTCACAAAGCCCCGTAGAAAGGGCCCTGAAAGGGAACACCTCAGTGAGGATTAGGCCTGGGTGCCTCCCTCTTTTCTTTTCATCTCATTTTCCACAATCAGACGTTAATGACATAATCACTCTTGGGGTAAACTGACAGCACCTTGAAATAGCTCTTATACAATTTTTCATATTTTGTTGTTAGAGAACCTCTGCCAGAAATGTATTTTATCAGAATTTTATGAGATAGACCAACACAAAGCGTAAATAACTGTGTAAAGGAAATATATATATTTTTTACTTTTAATTATTTACAAGTAAAAATCAAAGGTGCAGGGGTGTCCAAAGAGTGGCCCTTGGGATAATTTTCTGAGGCCCGACTCGACTGCTGTTCAAGAATAGCCCTCCAGTGAGCACTTCTGTGAATTTGTAGCATGACGATTTAAATGACAAATTTAATTCTTCTTCCATTTCAATTCAGTTCAGTTCAGGTTTATTCAAATCGCAATAATCTTACATCAAGAAATAAAAAAAAGACATAGTCATAAAATGACCAACAAAACATCATCATAACACTTTTCTTTCTATAAAGCATTATTCTTGTAATAGACATGTTTTTTAATTGAATTTAATAGTAAATAGGACTATAAATATCCAGTTACTTTTTACTGAAAAACAAAATAATATGTGAGCACATTAATTCTTCTATTAAACTTGGTTAATATTAGAAGTTTTTCCCACAAAAGTAAGGAAACTGTCTGCCTTTTTATTGAGACAAAAAAAATTCTACTTTGATTCATTAAAATATTGCATGTTTGACTTATTGCTGAAACCTGAGTCACAACAAAAATATTTTGCATTTCAAAACAATGTGACTCCTGAGTACTTTCAGCTTTGGGATTCTGGCCATTGTTGGAAACAGTTTGCTGATCAAGAGACTGACATGAATTCTTCTTTGCAAAATAGCTAAGGATCAGTCAAGTTAAACAGACAGTTGAACTCATATTTCAGAGCCTTACCATAGATTCTCAACTGGATGTAGGTTTAAACTTTGACTGGGCCATTTTAAGAGTTAAATATTCTTTGGTTTTAGCTATTAGCATGTTGCCTGGCTCTACAAACATTTGCTAATAAC